TGCAAAGGGGATTGTTTGAGCCACCTACATTAATGCACATTACAGTTAAATATCTGTCGGATTTTCCATTAACCCTCTTGCATTTGCATCTCCAGGATCAAATCTATTTCTTAACCTTCCATCCTTTCCTCTCCTAGTTGGAAACTTGGTATTCAACAGGCTAAATTTCCAACTGATGCTTTAAATGCATAGCTCTTATTGATGGATGAGACAAACAGACAAAGACTTTGCAAGGAGAATGAAAGAAGACATTTTCCTAACTGTGGATTTGAGCTCTGTGAATTTTGATTCCAAGGCTAACGTGTTCCTCTTGTTATTGTGTTTATTTCTCTGTTGAAGAATACAGAAGTTAGCTGTTGCTTTATGATAATGCACTCCAGTGTGCTGAGCTATTTACACACTAGAACAAAATAAGATAGAAAAAAATGGAATATACAGAAAATTGAGTTCTATTCTATTAAAAGCTAAAATAGCATGTTTAAACTTAAACGTGTTGTCTTACAGGAAATGCCCCTGTGATTTTTGCTTACCTACTACATAGGATGGATTGTTAAGGGTTAAGAAATGTAGCATGCATATCCTATGGGAATCTAAGTAGGACAGATACCTCCTTCAGATAGAAGGCTTACTGAAGGGAGGGACCATACCTTCCTCATCGTTTTCAATAAATTGGTCTTTCAACCTGTGTCAAGCCTCTAAACCCAAATTTTGACCCCAAGAATGAGGCCAATAGTGATGAACCTCCCATCAAAGGAAATTTAAATGGTGAGGACGCTGGAACGAACATGGGACTGAAACGTAAAGGAAGGTTCATCATGATTGGCCTCGTTCTTGGGTTCTGAATATCCTGAGTGTTTCCGAGCATCTTTAGGACTTTGGCTTGGCTTTGTCTTTGGTTCTTTATCTCCTGATGTCCTCCAACTTGCTTAGAGCTTCTAAACCCAAATTCTGGCCTCAGCATAATTGTGGATCTTTCAGCCACCTACTAACCTCCAGCTAGCATGGCTTGGATGTTATTTTATTGCAAAACATAGAACTCAAGATTATTTTCCCATTAAAAAGGCACTTTTAGCTGATACAAGGTTTCTACTTCCTTTCCGGCACTTTCATTTGAATAGTAGTAAGATTTAGAAGTAGTGCCAGTATATATGAGCTAAAGTGATTCCACTTTAGCATCACTCGGGCCACTTAGAAAACAAATTTCTGAGTGTTCATCTTTAAAATCAGATATATGCAAAATTACCTTAAAGAAGTAGAGAGGAGAACATTGGGAAGCTTGCTTAATTTATACCAAGGGTTAACGTGGAGTAGTAAAGATAAGTTTGCCTAGGTGGAGAGAGCCGGGGAGGTTCGTGACTGAAGAGCTTAGCTTTAAACTAAGGAGGAAATGTACAAATTTATGTTTCAGTCATAACAAACTGTTCATTCTCTGGCTGCTTTCCCTCCCAGAAGTTTTAGACAGGGGAGAAATCTAAACCAAATATAGAGCACTTGAGTTGCATGGATCTAATGTTAGAAAAATTTTATACTTTAAATGACTAATTATATAGCTCTGAAACAGATCACATTTTGGTTCAGAGGTAAGAACTTTTGGACTGAACCCTCATAAGCTCTAGTTAGCTAATATTCTCTCACACTTTAACTAGTGTTTGGAGACTTGAATCAGAATTTCATGTGTTGTATCCCTTTCTTGTCCTCTCTCATAGCCCTCAAGTCAGGAAGAGAAGAAAATCATAGTCAGAAGGTCTCTATTTACTGAACTCCAAAATACTAGTGAGACAAGAGTCTACTATGGACACTTTATGAAACATCAGATAACATTTGTTCTCCTAATCAAAGCACGAAACAATAAAGACATATCCAGTGATCTGATTATGCTGCATCCATTCCTCAGGCATCGTTCCCATCACAGAGGACAGAAGTGGGTGCACAGGAAAGGGAGAGGGCCCCAGGAAGCCCTCAAATTCAGCTTCTGCCTGAGCATGTGGATCTACTGGGTTCAGAGCTCTGAAAGAGAAGTTCACCTTTGCACTTCTACTCAGTACACTGCAAGTAACTGATTAACCAATTCCATCTACCATTTTGCAGCAGAGAGCAAAGACTTCTACCATGTCCAAGGCTAAAGTTCTCCAATCAGCAAATCCCATAATACGTCTTCCTATGTTTGCCACAAAATGAATATGAGAAACAGAAAAAAAAAATACTTGACTAGCATTTTTATTTAAGATACTTTGATAAATTTAAAAGTTGTCTAATCTCCAATCCCTTCTCTCACCCATGATTTTGGTCATGAGTAACAGATATTTACCTATTCTTGTATGAGAACACACACTTTATACTTTGATTGCAGCATTAAAACTACTCTAGATTGAGAAGACTTAACATTATGTTTAATGGAAACATAAGAACTAGAAAAATCTTAAGATATATATACATCAAATGAAATTGCTTCTCAACACTATCATTGTGAGAGGCAACTCATTTTTGTATTTGCCTCAGAAGAAGTTCATACACCACTCTTAAATTGCAGCCTTGTCATACCATACTTATTCCTTGGTTGTGACCCAAAGCCACATTAACCAGCTTGATTATTTTCAAAAGTCACCCTGACAGGATGAATATTGTTCGGCAATAATCTACCAAACATTCTGTGTGCCCTGGAGACAACCACCAGACAAATTCTGTACCAAATAATAGCGCCGTTATTAGAATGTATACCTCCTCTGAGATGATTTCTTGCAAGGGGGCAGCACTTTCTTTAGTACAGAGCTTTGGTATGTTTGCATAAATCTCAGACACAGGGCTTTGGAGTCAGATCCTAGAGAGTCACTGGCCTAGGAGGGACAATGTTCAGTTCATAAAGCTGGATGAATTAGTGGCCATTGCCAGCTTGTGCAGAAGAAGCCTTTAGCTTGAAATGCTAATACCATTTCTACTACTTTCTAAAGGCTTTCTTGAAGAGATGGAAAATTTCCTGGCATCATACGCATTATATGTGCTTGGAAATACAAAAAATGATCCCAGACATTGAGAATTGATGTTGATTTTGCTATCAGCACACACTGTGTGCTTGGATCCTGGAAGCTTGGGCAGGGACTAAGAGGGCGGGAGAATGTATAGAGAGTGCTGATACCAACAGTGTCAGGAAACAGGACAGAGGCTATTGGAGGTGGCAGGGAGGCTCTCCAAAAAGAGCTGATGGGACACCAAAAATGTGTATTTTCTGTTGTGAACTCTGTATTTTTGTTAGCTCCATAATATGTATTATCAAGAAGATCAAATATCACATAAATTTCTTTTTAAAATTACTTTCTAATATCTCTGAAGGTTAGAGAATTAAGATGTTTTATGCCTAAAAGTCTTAATTTTCTATACGATTATGTTAATAGGGCTCAATATTAGAAGAAAAAAAATTTTCAGAGTCCTCACAAAGATCTACAATGGTTATTCATTTCCCAATAAGTCCTACTTGTAAACTATATATAATAATGGCTGAAAACATAGCCTTTAAAGTAGACCATCTGAATCCTGGCTCTGCTATTTCTTATCTGTGTGACCTTGGGAAACTTACTGAACCTGTGCTTCACTTCCCCTACTTGTAAAATGGGGATAATGGTAATACCCTCATATGGGTGAAATGGGATACCACAAGGGAGAAATCATGCCAGACAAAGAGTAAGTACTAAAAGATGCTGGCTTATTGCTATTCCATTAGTTATAATTTCCATTTTGATGGTCAGAACTCTGGGCCTGAGAGGATAACTGGTGACATACTTATAACACTGCTTCACAATGAAAAAAATCAGGGACAGGTCTCTCTTATTTCCTCCATATTGTTTACGTTCAAATTTATTTCAAAAATGTAGCTTATGTTAAGCCAGTTCCTCCCCTACATATGAATAGTGGCTGCTTAAACATAATTTGAATATATTGCTCTTTACAAGATGATCACAATAATAATCATCTTATTCTAGACTCTGTATGGGGAATGATCTCATCTTATGGTCAGTACAACCCCAGTAGATATTACTATCACCTCATAGGTGAGGAAACAGGCTGAGAGAGGTTCAGAATTCCTTGAGGTTGCACAGTGAGGACAGTCAGAGTAAGCATCTGAACCCACTGCTACCTAAATCAAAATGCCTACTTACAGTATTAGAAAGTAGTTCCACAATTTGTTTTTAGATGATCCCTAAATTACCTGTTTACAGAATAATTATGAAAGGATTATGCCATATATATGTACATAGCATAGAATATTAGTCTTCAAGTCTATTCCCTCTAATGTACAATTAAAACATGCACATGCAGATGTACAATTCTAAGTGAATAAGAGTGGAAGGCTTTACTTGCTACACAGTTTTTGAATCTTTCTTATATCTAGTGTTCTCTTAGCCCACATCTAGGACAAATGTTAGCTTGGACACAGTCTGTGGCGCTTGTGGTACTTGTTCCATATAGAGTCATGGCAAGATCAACTATGATAGGTTGGGTATTGATACATTACAGCTGGTTGGTGCAGTGTGGGACAGTCATTTAATCCTCTTAATATCATCTTAAATATTGAAATACTCAGCATCAATTGAAATACTCAGCATCAATCAACATCATACACATGGTAGGAATTCACGAAGTGGGTATTGACTTAGTGACTGATTTACTAGTTAGATGAATGAATGTAAAAGATATCAGAATCTGACAACTGGATATGTCACTAATGGCATAAATTATAATACAGTGTTTTTCTTTTATTTTGCTTAATAATTAAGCATTTCATCACTAAACATCCCAATGACAATAATACTTTACAAGGAAATATGTGCCCTGCCCTTTAGACACTCCAAGAAAACCAGGTTTTGTGAGGTGTTCATATAAGTACATGAAGACCACTATTGATTTTGGTCTTGCTCATATCCAACACAAACATAATGGTAACCAAAGCATATAGCCAAGTTAAATCGTCTCTGGGAACTCTGGGTTTGAAATTGTGGAGCCCTTACCTGTCTGTGTTGTTGGGAGACTTGATATCCCAGTCCTGTGATAGTCTGAGTCTGTATTTTCTGAAGCAGGATCTTTTGCTGAAGAGGCAAGGGTGACCTTAGCAAAGGCTGTGTTGATAAAGGTTGGGTGGGTTGGGATGGTTGTTGCTGCTGCTGCTGCTGTTGCTGCTGCTGTTGTTGTTGCTGCTGCTGCTGTTGCTGCTGCTGTTGGTGTTGTTGCTGCTGCTGTTGTTGATGTTGTTGTTGGGCTGAAATAGAGTTCTGCTGCTGTTGCTGCTGTTGTTGCTGCTGTTGCTGTTGCTGCTGCTGTTGTTGCTGTTGCTGCTGCTGCTGCTGCTGCTGTTGCTGCTGTTGCTGCTGTTGTGTGTAGTGCAGGAGAGAAGGCTTACTCTGGGAAGGTAAAGCAGAAGGCAACTGCTGGTTTGCTTGATCTGAGTTAAAATGGAACAAAGGCTTGGTGTTGCCATGACGGGGTTCCAGGGATGGATGTGGGTTGTTCATAAAACTTCGACTGAGATCCTGAGGCTTTTGCTGCATGAGCACATCTAGGTGCCCACCCTGGGAGGAGGGGCTAGCCTTGTACATGTAGTTAGCCATTATTTTCGACTGGTTACTACTGCCTGCTACCGCAGCCATGGGGGAACCCTGTGGGCTGAATGGCTGCTGACCAAAAGAAGGACTGGGGATTTTCTCCTGCCCAAATGGACCTGGTGATGGTACAGCAGAAGAGGGCAAGGATGACCAATTGACAGGTTGGTGTTGCTGCTGGTGCTGTTGCAGCCGGGCATGCTGCTGACGATTGGCAGCTATCTGTTTGAGTTGCTGGGCATGGGATACTTCCTGCCAGTTTGGCAGAGCCCGGTTTGCTCCCGATGCTGTTTGAGGCTGAGCCTGGTTCTGGGGGACTGTTGGGATTGGTGATGAAGTGGAGAGGGCAGAGGCCATGGAAAATGCAGGACCAGCTGACGGAGGCCTCAACTGCGGAGAGCCTGAGGGGCCCTGAGTCAGCCCAGGTGAATATTCGCTTTTGATCACGATCTTCTCCATAGGCAAAGAGGGCCTGGGAGTACTCCTCTGGCTTTGTTGACCCAAGTCAATGTTAAATGGATCATCCTGCTTTATGGTGGCATTGATCATGTTCTCCAACTCAAGGTCACTCATGGGAGGCACAGATATGTTGGTCAGTTCATTGAACAGTTCCTGTAGCTCTGGATCCATCAGTTGCTCTCCCGGATCATCTCCATACCTATTGGTAAAAATATTCTCTTGGGTCATTTGACTATCCATGTGTTTACTACAAGACAGCGTCTCTCCTGGCTCCTTCTTTACCTCCTTTAAGCCCATGTTAAACATTCCATTGCCAGGAGAATGTGTATGTGCTGGCAGTGTGTTAGTCTTTCTCAGGGGGGCCTGGTTTATAGGCAAAGCTCCTGACATAATGTGACTTTGTCCATTATTCACTTGGATGCCACCTTGTCCTGTACAGAGGTTCTCCCCAACACGGATTCTTTTGATGTCAAGGAATGAGTTGTCAACAAAGCCATTGGGCCTCTTGCTATTCGCAGGAGATAGGTTAACTACTTGTTTTCTTTTCAAGGAACCCTGGAGCTGAAAGATAGAATGGAAACAAAAAAATGAGATATTAATCCAATTATACTATAAATAAAAAGCAATTCAGTAATGTTCAGTAGTAAAACAATATTTAATTGTTTTTTCATTCATAGGATCCAGTAAAAATGAAAATTACAAATGGAACACAGTCTAGAATATAATGGAACTCACAGCAACACAAATATTTCTGGAAGAACAGGTCGATTAGGTTAGAGATCAGTGGTTTTCATGAACGGTACAGAGGTCATTGGATGAAAAATCCTTCAACTACATAAAGAGTTATTCACAATACCTAAGATTAATCACTAAGTCATACTTATTTTCTGGAGTAGGCTTATATATTGAACATACAGCTATGCATAATTATAGCACACACAACTTGGACCAAGTTGGGAAACACTAAAAATCCAAATCTTAGATGAAGTTCTTGTTTCTTTTTTTCACAGTTTCAACCCTGTCATCACTAGTATCCTTTAATAAAATCGTGCTTAGTTCCAAGTAGATATTGTCTATTGTTTATTTAATTTTCTCCCCATAATTCTAGTGTTTTGCATTCCGGCTCATAATGAGGTAGACAAGAAGCATATTGTAAATATTTAGCCCTGTGTTACATCCTGGCCATTCTGAGATTCCTTATTATATTACCTGAGATGTAGCATGTCTCTGCACACTGGCCCTGGCCCCTTCATGCTAGAAAGAGCAATATTGTGTGGATACACAAAAGCCATGAGACTATTATTCATTCAAGAGCACTCTATGCACAGATTTTCTTTAGTTTCTTTAGTTGTCTGTCTACATTCTGGTACCAAGGTTTTGAGAGGTGGTACTGCACAGGTGTTAAGAGCTCAGGCTCTGGGAGACACTTAAGCCAAGTTCACAAGTGTCAGTGAGTGCTATGTGGCCTTGGCAATTCATTAATCTAAGCCTCAATTTCATAATCTACAGATGGGAACAATAGCATTTAATTCAGGACAAAATTAGATAACACATGTAAATGTTTAGTACAGTACCGGCTATAATAATAACAAATTATAGTTCATAGGACAAGTATGCATACTACATTCTGGAGCATGTCTCCAAATAGCAACATGTTTAAGGAACTCATGAATGTTAAAGTATTTTATTCACTAACTTCATGAACAAATTGTACTTTAAAAGCCTTAGTTAGTAGGAAAGAAACAGCCAAACCAATACATCTCTAAGAAGGTTAAGGCATTCATCATTGGTCCTTTGATCCTTATTGATTTATCTCTAAAGTGAGAGACTGTATTTGTCAAAGTGTGGCCTACTTAATGCTGCTAACCCATTTAAATCATTTAATATTTTTTCAGGATAATTGCAAAATACCTGAGACAGAAATATTTCCCAGATAGGACATTCTATCACTTCTGCTGTCACTTGGAGCTAGTCCCTCACCCTTCTGAAGATTTCTAGGTAGCCTAATTGAGAAATTAACATAACTGAGTATATACTACATGTCAAGTATTTTAAATATGGTGGTTTACTTTCTTTAATCTGAATGCCTATTCCACTAGATAGGCATTATTATTATTATTTACAGCTAAGACACTTGCTCAGGGTCATAGAGCAAAAAATGGCAGACCTGGGTTGTAACTTAAAGTCTGGGTGGTTCTCTGTTATTTCCACACAATTGTTTTAGAATTAGCTTGTCTAGGGCTAGGCCCCACATAGCAGGGAACATCCAGGAGCCGTGAGTATGGAAACAGTTTAGATCTCAGGGAAAAGCATGAGGGAACTGGGAATGGCCAAGATGCAGCACAAGGCTGATTGTGAACAATGTTTCTTTTCATCTAGCTTATCAATGCCTGTTTCAGTCGTTCCTTATCCTTATAAGAAGTGTACAGTTATGGTGGATGTGCATTTTTGGTGTAACAGGTCTTAACCTTCTACAATTGCTGCTTAGTAATCAGAGAAAGCAACCTGACCCAAGCTAGGCCAATCAATCCCTTTCATAGGAATTGTAGACATGGAAAAGGAAAATCAAGCTGAATAGTGTTTTCCAAAACATATAAGTGGTTCTTCTATTATGTGAACCAAAGCCATCTGTAGACAGAAAGCAGAACGAAGCAGAGAAGAGGAACACATTTTGGCAGAAGGTTAGGTGGGCATCTGTCTTTGTTGTATTTGACTCAGTATGGATCTTAATAATAAGTTATTCTGTCTGCCTGAACTAATATGAAGTGTGTCCCTGTCACTGCCAACCAATAGTTCTTACGTCCCCTGAGACTTCACACTCAGTGGTGAACAATGCAAGGGGCGGGGCACACTTTGTACCTGGACCTGAAACTTCCTCCGTCTCCTTCTTTGCTGTCCCTATGATTTGTGGACTCCTAATCTTGTCTACTTATTGGCGTGGACCACATCATCACAGAACAATGTCAGCCTTAATGTTCGGCAGAAGCTCAAAGCTGCCACCACGGGTCCTCCTGGGTCAGAAAGATCACAGACCAGAAAGACCCAGCCATACTGCCTCTGATTTATTTCAGCCTTTTGGAGGTTCTTTCACCACTAGTAAAGAACAAATAAAAGGCTACATTCTTTTTTTCAGGTTTAGATGATTGCCCTTGATTTATTTTCCAGCCCTTTGAAAAAACCTGTTCTGCCAGATTCTCCCACTGCTCCAGCCACTCCTTGGGTCTTGTAGAGCACACTCCAGGAAGCAGCTCTGACTTTCTCCTCACACCACCAGCACTGCAGGGGAGTAATAGAATGAGGAATGGCTGCAGCAGCGGAGAAAACAGTAATACTAATCCAGGCATTTATTATGGGCTTGAGTACCAAGCATTATGCTAAAGTCTTTGTATTAACAATCTCACCGACTCCAAGATTTCTCACAACTCTAAAGGGTGACACTATTTCTACCCTTCTGCCTATTTTGCAAATGAGAAAATAACTGAGACTTAAAGACTGAATAACTTTTTTAGGGCATACTCATAGCAATCAATGAAACCAGGAATCCAAACAAGTATTCCTAGTGCAGAGCCTGCGCTCTGTAGAAAATGGCACTCTTGGTACTAAAGGAGGTAAATGCTAACCACAGCCATGTACTAAGAAGTCTGTGCGGTCTAATCCTGCTTCTGCCTTTAACTTGCTGCGCCCCTTCAGGCTAGATACTGTATATCACTTCTGTGGGCCATTGTTTTCGCCTTTATAAACAATGTTATCTTTGAGGTCTCTTTCCTGCACAAACTCTGAAAATAATGAGCAGTGAGGGAGTGTGGTTTGTTCTTTGTGCACGGCAATGTAAGGTCACCAACCAGCACAGTCAGAGGGGTGACTGAAGTAAAGGACAGAAAAAGTGACATGCATTGCTATTAGGCTAGAAGACGTCCTATTACACCACCATTGGGTATCATATTTCAGCAAGTGAATTTGGAGGATATGCATTGTCAGAGGTAGGCTGTGTTCTGCCTTCTAGAAGTTTATAATGATAGGTGTACTGCCAAGATGCACTGAATACACAGAAGGGGTAGGCATGAAACTGCTGGCACAATAAAATCTAAATGATTCTCAAAGCTTACCCTGTGCTTTGAACTATTTCCTTTGCTGGACCAGAATACTTCCATCAGATACATGGTTATGAACTACGGTATAATAGCGGTAGTGCACCTAGGGCACATTTGTCACCGTGTCCTGTTTGTACCATGGAAAACTCAGACGGTTCACCAGACGGTACAGAGTCTCTGAAAGATTACTGTGAAAACGCAAGCACTGTGGAAGCCGAAGAGGAGGAGCAGAGTTAGCCCTTGATACACAATGAGAAACGGTCTATCAGAACATTTGATGCCAACTTACCAGCACAGGAACAAACCCCTAAGGGAACCAGACTCAATCAGAATGGTGGGCAATGAGTTTAAATAGACAAGGAGATGGTAGGGCTGGAGGAGTTGGGAGCTCCGAGGTGTGGCCCTTTTGAGTGGCTGGGGAACAGAGAAGGAAGCAAGGCAAGGGCAATTATGTAAGTGCAGTAGAATGAGGTGCAGGCAATGTATGTCTCAGGGGCCACAGACTAGCAGATTCCCGAAAATAGCTAACCTCATGGCAAAGGCAGAAGGAAGGCTCTCTACGCGTCACTCACCTGACACGCCCAGCAGGCACAGTAAACACAGTACTGAGGGTTCTTAGGGGTTCATAAAAACACACTGATTTATTTAAAAACAGGGACAGAGTGAGCATTTAAATTAAAGAAATGTGTTAATACAATGTTGGTTTATGTACGTTCATACCAACCCAAGAAGAAAATATAATTTTAAATCTTCTGTCCAATCTTTTGCTCTCAAAAGCAAGAATGCCAAAGGCCCACGAACGGTTCTCACGTAATAACCAGTGTGCGCTGCGTGCTTATTCTGGACAGCTATTCTGAGGCGTGCGGGCTCGTGTAATGTTCTCACGGTCTCTGAAGCACGCACTCATATCCTTATACGTTCAGAAACTGAGGTCCCTGAAATGAAGATGACACAGCAACGCCGGCCCGGGCTTCTCGGGTTCCAGGCTCTCGATTCATAACTGCTAACCTCACTGCCCGTCCCTTCGGCTTTCAATTTGCCGCACGCCAGCACTGCTGTGGGCATAGTAGGCACTGATGGCCAAGACAAAGGGACGAGAGAAAGAAGACACACTGCAGATACGGGACGAAGTTAAGGGCATTTGGACTCCCAGGGATGGACGGCAGGGCCAACGGTGCCATCATTAGCTGGAGGTTGATGGTGAAAGCTCAGTCCATCACCCCTCGGGCTCTGATATGACAAAAGAAAGAGCAAAGGGTCACTCGGTCAGTCAGCAAGATTTACTGAGCACCTGGGAGGGTTCCGAGTCACACGCTATCAAATCACCCCTGGCACAAAGGACAATTCGCAGGCGGGCAGGCTAGTGGCAGGATGAACGGGACTTCAGGTCAGCGCTACCTTGCAATATGTACCATTTTTTCCATGATCTGGAGAGACTGAGAAGATGCTTTATTTCTCACAATAAGTCTG